AGTAATTTTAGCATGAGAAAAATTGCATAATTTTTTTTAGTTTTCCAGATTTGTGTAATAGATAGGGTGTTTTTATGCTAAAAACACTAAAAAATTATTCTCCCCGCTGTCGCTCCATTTATAATTTTCAGATTCGCTGATAACACTTTCGTCATCACTTTCACTGTTCGCTAAAATGTCATACAGTTCCTGTTTTGTGTGAAGCTTCTTATTGAATCGTGCCATTTTAAAACTTTGTCAATGAAATACCAAATACCTAAGCGCCAAAAACAAATAATATTTACAGCCTGAAACCACAATAGCCGGTGTATACCTACTTGTTTGCACTGCTCAGGGTAGGCGCCGCCCACATGGCAAATATCGGCGCCAAGCTGTAGTCCCAACCGTCCTGACTGATCGTACATATACGGTGATAGCAGTCTACCGCTCTAAATAGTTTTTCTGGGAGAAACGTAGATATACGCCTGGAGCGGTTTCGATCAAAACGTATTTATACGTCTGGAGCAGTTAAAAGGTTAATAAACTGACGGACTGGGCTAGTTTTAAACAATGTCTGTCGGAAAAGATAAACTTATCAGTACCGTTGCGAACGCCACAACAAATTGATGAAGAAGTCGATTGTTTTATCGTTAATATTCAAGAAGCAGCTTGGGAAAACAGTCCCAAATTAAAAAGAATTTTTAAGGGAAAAACTACCCAAAAGAAATTAGAGATCTTATTATAGAAAAAAGGAAACTAAGAAGAAAATGGCAGCAAAGTCGAGATCCCCATGACAAAACAATTATCAACAATATTGTTACGTCCAGATTTTGGTCGCAACGTCGTCCAAATACCAGACGAATAATCCGGGATTGGAAGGAATAAAAAGTCCAATTTAAAACAATAACAAATCGGGATTTATTAATAAATAATAGAAAAGAAAGTTTAACAAAAAAATTGAATAAATAAAATAAAACAAAATGAAATTTTGGAAATTAAAAATTGAAAGTTAAATCAGATTGCGATAAAATACAAATCGAAAGATTTTGGTTCGTACTTACATTATATGACTCAACATAATTTTGCACAACACTTTGTACTTTCTTGAAGTCTGCGAGGGTACTGTGCAAGCTTTAATTCGGTTTTTCGCCATCGAGTCTTTGATAAGTCAGCAAAATCAATTTTACCTTTGAAATAATTGAACTATCGTTTTGCGGACTCATCGAAGTTACAAAATTATAGTTATTGATTCATAACCGAAATTGTTTAATTTTACAAAAGGAAACGACTTGCAGTTTTGCGAAAAGTCAGCGAACTGAACTTTGAATAGAAAATTAAAATATTCAGTTTTTTTTTATGAAAAATATTTCCTTTTGTAAATTATAAAAACTTTTTAGCGTGACATAAGGCGAGAAATTCAAGAAATCAAAAATGACTCTATTAACAATTACCTTAGTGAACTCACCAGCGACAAAAGCACTGATTATTCTCTTTGGAAAGCAACTAAAGGCCTTAAAAGACCAGTTACCCAAATTCCACCCATAAGAAAGTCAAATCAGCAATGGGCAAGGAGTAACGAAGAAAAAGTAGAACTTTTTGCAAGTCATTTAGAAAAGACATTTCAGCCTAACGAAGGACAGGATGAAAATCTTTCCTGGAATGAACCTTATCAAGAAGGCCACATTAAACCTACTTCACCAAGAGAAATATTAACAGAGATCAATCAAAATATCAGTCCGAAAAAAGCTCCAGGATATGACCTAATTACTGGGGAAGTAATAAAACAACTCCCCAGGAAAGCTATTGTGAAATTATGTCACCTTTTCAATGCGTCCTTTAGGCTTAAATACGTACCTAAACTTTGAAAAGTTGCAGAAGTTATCATTATACCAAAACCCGGAAAACCACCTCATGATGTGTCATCTTATAGGCCAATATCATTATTGCCCGTTTTATCTAAGCTTTTTGAAAAGATACTGCTAAAAAGAATAAAACCGATCATAGAAAGACAGGAAATCATTCCAACTCATCAATTTGGATTTCTCGACAAGCACTCTACGATCGACCAAGTACACAGAATAACGAATTTATTAGAAAAATCGCTGGAAGAGGGAAAAGTCTGTTCCGCAGTTCTCCTCGATGTAGCGGAAGCATTTGACAAAGTTCGGTATGAAGGCTTAAACTATAAACTAAAGCTGTTTCTGCCAAAACATTATTCTGATATTTTGGAATCATATATGTGTGATAGACATTTCACAGTCAAACAGGAAGATTTTGAGTCAAATTCACGAAAAATAAAAGCAGGTGTTCCTCAGGGTAGCCTGCTAGGTCCCTACTTATATTTATTATTTACATGCGACATCCCAAAACCAGAAAATTGTCATTTAGCAACATTCGCCGACGATACTGGCTTAATTACAGTGGAAAAAAGTATTGAACAATCAACAGAAAAACTGTAGAACGCTGTCAGTGAAGTTCAAAACTGGACCAAAAAATGGCAAATAAAATTGAATGAAACCAAATCAATTCACGTTGATTTTACAAACAAAAACGTAAATCACATACAAATCAAAATTAATGACACCCCTATACCATATTCAAATCAAGCTAAATATCTTGGTATGACGCTTGATGCGAAATTGCGCTGGAAAGCACATGTTAAGAAAAAAAGGCAAGAGATGAATTTAAGTATAGAAAAATGTACTGGTTAATTGGAAGGACGTCCAATTTAACCATACATAACAAGTTACGGCTTTATAGGCAAATACTGAAACCAGTATGGGCATATGGAATTCAACTTTGGGGTTGCACTAAAGATAGTAATATACAAGTTATTCAAAGATTCCAAAATAAAGTACTAAGAAACATTGTTAATGCACCTTGGTACGTTCGAAATAGTGATCTACATCGGGAACTAGGAATTGATACTGTAACAGAGACTATAAGAAAGTACGCAAAAAGCCATGAAGATAGACTACATCGGCATGTGAATGTGGAAGTGATTGAGCTCCTAGACAACACTGAGCTAGTTAGAAGACTGAGAAGGGTGAAGCCGTTCGAGCTAGTGAACTGAAATTGAAAAACACAACAAAATAGTGCTATAAACACATCAAAATTGTGATTTACAGTTTAAGCAAAGTGGGGAAAACTTTTGAGTGAACCTCAAGAATTGTAAACTTTATAGTAAATTAGGTTAAAACAAAATTGCTAATTAGTCTTACTGACTAGATTGTAATGTAATAAACACAATGTGTTTGACAAATAAAAAAAAAAAAAATGATAGAAATTGAGTTTAAAGCCTCTAGACAAAAAAATTTGACAGGGAATGGAAATAGTCACTTCCAAAACTACAACTTCAGGAAAGCTGATTTCGACGCTATGTACCAATTGTTTCACAATGCTTCTTGGAATGACCTGGAATTTCTTGACGATGTCAATATGGCTGTTAAGCATTTCTATGAGAAAATATATAATATTTCTGAGATCTGTGTTCCAAAAAGAAAAAAATGCTCAAAGATATATCCTGTATACTTTACGAAACATATTATTAAAGATATAAAGAGTAAAGAGAAGTTGAGAACTCAGAGTAAGAGGACAAAGAAAGTAGAAACATATAATCAATTTATTCAATTGAGAAACAAGATAAAAAAGGACATAAAGAAAGTACACGAAGATTATTTAATTGAAGTTCAGCAAGACATCAGCCAGGATTCAAGGTCGTTTTGGCGATATGTATGTGAATAACAAAAAAAGTGTTGTTGGTATACCTAACACAATGCATTTGAATAATTTGCAATTCGTTGATGGTAAATCAATATCAAATGCGTTTGCTGCATATTTCGGTTCAGTCTATGCTGACGATCTTGAACATTTTGACATCCAGGATGTACTGGGTGACTGTGAAATGATTTTGGTTATTTTGAAATACATTTGATGTAATTCGAAATAAAATTTACAAAGACTGAAATTAAATTGATGCTTTTTGATGTTCAATTGATGATTTTGAAATACATCTGATATTTTTTTAAATTGAAGTTATTATTTTGAAATACATTTGATGCTTTTTGAAATCGACTTAATCTATTTTGAACTAAAAGTGGAAATGTACACCATTTCCAACAGTATTTCAAAATCGGTCAAATGTATTTCAAAATATTCACTTTTATTTCAAAAATTGATATTTTATTTTCCAATACTTCCAAAAAAATCAGATGTATTTCAAAATCATCATTTCTTATATCATCAAAAACTGTAAGGGAGGTACAGGGTGTCTGGTTATAATTTGATTTTTTTAACTGTACGATATAAACACATACTTCAATTTTTAACCGAATTGGTAATGTTCGAAATAAAACTGACCATTTTTGGAATACATTATTTCACTAATTTGAAATACATTTGATGTATTTCGAAATAAATTTGATTATTTTGAAATACATTTGATGTCTTTTGAAATAAAATTTATAAAGATTGAAATTAAATTGATGCTTTTTGATATTGAATTGATGATTTTGAAATACATTTGATATTTTTTTAAATCAAAGTTGTTATTTTGAAATACATTTGACGCTTTTTGAAATCAACTTTATCCATTTTGAACTAAAAGTGGAAATGGTGTAGAAAAAGGATCGCTAAAAATTTTGAGCTTTCTATCTATAATAGAAAAAAGCCTCGAAAAAAGCTATACATTTTCTGAGGAATTTTCAAAGTTTTCAAAAATCTAAACATAAGGTAGCTACTTCGGTAGCTACCTTAGGAGAAGAATCGCTGAAAATTTTAGTTTTCTATTTATAATAGAAAAAAGCTCGCACAGAACTTAGGGCTAGTCTATATAAGTAAACAACTAGAAGGTATTCATCGAATGAGACATCAAATAGAAGTGCATATACAAAAAATCAACAAAGATTTGCAGAATATGAGTGCTGATATCTGTTTTCTCTTTATTATATTGCTATATTTTTGAAGCCTAAACATTAATAATTAATTAATTAAGGCAAACTTTTTTTTACTAACATTTCCAGGTATGTTTACATTCAGGCTACGATCACAATGAAACCATCTTCAACGTCATCAATGCCTACGATTTCCCGCGCTTCTTTTACGACCAAGAGAGAAAAATTTATTTACCAGACACCCAAAAAGGCGTCCTCTTACCTGATGCAGATGTGAAATCAAAAATGTTCAGAGAACGTTACTCAAAAGTTTTACAAAGAACCAAACGGGCTTTTGCACAAACCTTGCTGAATCCCGAACACAGTCAACTGACATTACAAACTGTAGATTATTTGTTAACTTTATCAGAAATTACTTTGGAAAGGACTGTGATTTTGGGGGCACTGTTACAAGTGGGAGATGGAAAGTATGTTTTGGAAGATCCTACAGGAATAGTAGAGTTGGATCTAACACATGCTAAGTATGAATTTATTAAATTTAATTTAGATAATTTTGTTAAAATATGTTTCAGATATCATCCTGGTTTTTATGTAGAATGTTGCCTGGTTCTAGTTAATGGTTATTATGAAGATAAAATCTTGCATGTGTCCACCATGATTATGCCTACAGGTGAAGACTACGCAAATTCCAGGTCAACATTTGGAATTTTAAATTATTTTGGCGGACCTTCAACGACCCCTCTCAAAGATTCCAAAAGATTGAAAAGCCACATGCAAAACCAAGATGGCATGTTTGTTTTTTTGTCCGACGTTTGGTTGGACCATCCGCAGACTTTTGAAAAACTCGAGAAACTTTTCGATCAAATGGAACAGTTTTTACCGCCAATAGCTTTTGTGTTTATGGGAAATTTTATGTCAGAGTCGCACGGCAGTGAAATTATAAACGATCTCAAGAAGCAATTTAAAAGATTGGGGGAATTAATTTCTAAGTATCATATATTAGTTAATTCTAGTCAGTTTGTTTTTGTGCCCGGCTTAACTGATCCTTGTTCGCCGCATATTGTACCAAGGTAAGATATTTTATTGTTTATTAATATTTCGGATAAATGTTTCACTCCATATCTCTGTTGTCCACAAACCAAAAACCAGATAACATGAAAAATAATACAACACATACACCTAAATCAATGTTTCTTTCCGCTCAATGCATTTATGATTGCACTAACTATGTGGTTGAACTTTCTGGAAGAGAGTTGGCAAGGTTACCCCAATACCATTTTACGAGGATTTGACCTCAGCCAGAAGTTACTCCACTACTTCCTGAACATATTCTTAATGGAAAATTGGTGAAATACTATGTATTCAAGACTGTCTCCAGAAATTAGTTCTGCTAATAAATTAAACAAAATTTCAATTTCAGACCTAGTTTGCCCAATTTTATAACTGAAGAAATGAAGAGAGTGCTACCCAAAGCCATTTTTGCAACAAATCCTTGTAGAATTCAATATTGTACCAAAGAGATTGTTGTATTTAGGGCAGACATTTTGGCCAAATTATTGCAGGGCACGTTACGTAAACCTTCTAAAGAAGAGACTCCAAAATGTGTAAGTTTCAGCTCGTTTGAATTGCTTGAAATAAATCTTAAATTGTTTTAGATTACAAAAACAATCATAGGCCAAGGCCATTTGTGTCCCCTAAGTTTAAACGCCCTAAATGTCCATTGGGATTACGATTATTGTATGTCGCTCTATCCTTTACCAGATCTTGTGGTTATCGGCGATAAATCTGAAGCGTATAGGGATCATTACAAGAACTGCGTTGTTACGAATCCTGTAAGTATTTATGTATTTCTTTTAGATTATGCTATACATTTTTAAAATACTTTTAGGGTCAATTTTGTAATGGAGACTTTACAATGTATTATCCTAATAATGATATAGGAGAAGCTGTGGCCGAATGTTCTATCAATGTTGCTGATTCTAATGAATGAATGTAGTTTTGTATTCCAAAAATAAATGTTTTCTATTTTTAATAAAAAAAAAATCAATGTTAGCTTACTACTTTAACAAATTCTATTGTTTTAGTACTTCCACTTGTCCAGTATCTGAAAAGGTCTTTTTTGTCTCACAAGTCTCTTTATTTGAAGCTTTTCAGCTCAAGTAGGTATCATCCAGCACTTTATTCAATACAGTTGTTGAAAATCATTTAAATGAAGTTCCCCTGATGACCTTAGGTCTGTTCCAACAAGTCAAATACCGTTTCACGAGCAGTTTCGGAACCACTCTGTATACAAATTTCGCATTCTACGCACAAAATTTGGGTTTTGTGCTGAATCGTGACAGTACATTGTACGGTTTCCTGCTGGATTGGAACAAAGCTCTTATTTGATACTCTTGAAGATGTGATTTTAACATCTAGCTTGTGTAGCTTCTGCGCTTCACAATTTCTATGCAAAAAGCTTCTGACTAGAGAATATAGGTAGCTCTTCAGTGTTCAAACCAGCCTGAAAACCGAATTGAGCTCTGTTCAACACTTTATTATGTTCGATGAATGTTGTTCTTAACTATCTTTTCAATAGCTTTAGCCAATGTTGGAAGTAGCGCGATGGGACGGTAGTTTGCTGGCTCCTCAGCGTCCCCTTCCTTATGAAGAGGAACAACGATTGCCAATTTCAGAAAAGGAGGAATTTTGTGTCTCTCAAATGAAATTTTTATGCTCTCAGACAACATCAATAAAGCATCATCAGGAAGACTACGAAGTATTTTGATAGACATACCATCCCAGCCATATGCATTTGATTTCCTAATATCTGAGAAGATTCTCCGAAGCTCAGTCACATCTGTGGGGATCATAAAGAATGTATTAGGATTGAGAACATTCCTTAAAAAATGTATAAAAAATCATGAGAGGGGGACAACTGATCAGAAATCCTGAAAGCAATTGAGCAGTACCTAATAAAGTATTAAGCTTGTTAGATGATAAAGATGATAAACTAGAGTCAGCCATATTGGAGTTGTATTTGCCTCTCAATTCATTGACAATTCATCAGGACTCCCTCTGACTATTGTCACTTTCCGAAAGCTTGCCCCTCTATAATACACTTGCTTTGCCAGTTTAATCATTTGTTTATATATTAATCTATATCTAATGAAAAACGGAACAGAGAACAAATTATCCATATAATACTTTCTTAAGTAGTGCAGCGCATATTGCCACTAGAAACCTTAAAACCAGGGCTTTTTTTTTCTTATTTTTTAAAATCTTTATTGGAAAAGATTGAAACAGTTTGCAAGAACTGTATGAAAATTATGTAGCGGATTTGCAGAATGCAAAAGACCAGCCCAATTAATTGCTTGGCTACTTTGCAAAAATCTTTGAAAAATTTTCCTTGTAAACAATATTCCTTTTCTTATCGTTTAAAACAAATACTAACCTCAGTCTTATAACTCTACAAAAAATTGCTTCATGATCAGATAAACCAGCATTGATTATTGTATTCCACGTCACTCTGAGGCAAATTACAACATAAATAGTCCAATACGGTAGCTGAGTACGAAGTTATTATGGTAGGAGCTTCAAGGAACATATTCAGACCAAAACTCTGCAAGAGGCCACTCAGCCCTCGAACATGCCTATTAGATACATCCAGGAAATTCAAATTCAAGTCCCCACAAAGATTGTAGACTTAAGAGGCAGCTGAGACAACAGTGTTTCAGCTTTTGACAAAAAGTCATCCTTATCGCCTGATGGGGATCTGTACAAACACAAAATATAGAAATTCCAACCTGAGCAATATACCAACGAAAATTCAAAATTTTTTTCTGCCAGAAGCTGATAATATTTATCAATTTTCATGAATTGGTTTAAAAAATTATTGTTTACAAGAATCAATGTATACCTACATTCTGAAACACCGATCTACGGTAACTGCTGAGCAAGAAATAATTGGGGACACAAATAGGCTCATCAACTTTAAGCCAGTGCTCACACAATAACACTTTGCTTGGGTGACCATAAATGCTCAACAAAATCGATGAATCATCTACCTTGGGTCTAATAGATTCAATGTTCAAATACATCAAGGTAAGGTGTGTCCCTCTAAAACTCGATGAAAATTTGCATTCTGCGTATTACCATTGTATTACTTACTGAAATTATACGATAGAACTCTAGCAGAAGAATCGCTACGCACTGGACTATAAGAGTCATGAATAGATGAGTCAAATGATGTTTGACAAAGCACTATAGGTATTTTCAGTATCTGCTTTAGTTTTACATATATTTTCATCTAGCTTTACGTAGGCAAGAGGTTTGCATTTGCATTAGAATCTAATAGTAACAGTCAATTGAGATAGTCGAAGATTTGAAAATTTGTTTCCTAGATGTCATCGTAACCTGCAAATATAATACTATAGTCCTTCTCACCAAACTTTTGTGTTAAACAATCCACATTTTTGACAGCGGCATCACAAGGAGCAGATGGCTCAATAATACTTCTGCAGATGGCTTAATAATACTTCTGCCCTGTATGTCGTGGAGCATTCAGAAGTGTACCCACCATGGTCAGGAAAATGACCGTAACGGAGGAGGAGATTAACGTCCCTCAATCTGAAAGTGGAAGAAAACTGTAGAAAAACAAAAGTTGGATAATACAGAGTCCATGTACAGTTTCTCAGAGAGTTTCTGGAGCACAGAACCTCATGGTTTACAATGCGGCAGAATCCAACGCTCGCCAGCTAGATGAACGCATCTCAAAAATGATAAACTCATTGCCTCAGAATTGTTTGTTAAAGTTGGGGGTACAACAGGATATCGGATCTCCAATCCATCAAAAAAGTAGATCCTGTGGGCAGGAGTGGAAATAGTACAAAACCACATATGCAATAGTGCGGACACAGTAGGATCAGCAATTAAATCTGCAAGCAAGCTACAAGGCTCAGGATCTCCACTGACCAAACTCGAAACTCCAACACAACAAGAGGAGGCTTATAAAAGTCAAACTAACTCTTGACACCATAAAGGCAGCTGGTGAGGAAAACCTGATAATAAAGTATCACAATAGTATGCCGATCATTGAAACCAAGCAGCAAAAAAACACAACAGCACCCCATTAACCCTTTACTTTCAAAACGCGGGAGGGCTCCATCCGGACTAAATTGACTGAGCTCTCAAAAAAAGGAGTATGCTGTGCTCATGAAGTAATTTGTGTGGAGATATAACCAATAGTGAAATAAAATGCGACGGATACCTGTGCTATTACTGTAATCTTATTTTGTTCAGTGGGAAGGAAGCAGCGTTCCCGGGAGAACGAGTGTTCCATCTTTGTTACTTATATTATCATTTGCATATCATTGAGAAAGACGGAACACTTGTTCTCCTGGGAACTCTGCTCTCCTGGTTCAAGAATAAGGACCCTGGTGTGCTAGCCTATGGGGATCAGTCGGCTCATACTGGGCAAGATATAGCCAATCTGTTCAGGGACCTTTTTCACACTATACAAAAAACCAACCATCTTCAATTTCCTCTTCTGAAACTATGGGCAACAACTGGAGCACCAATATCAGTTTTTCCTCAATTACGAAGACTGATATTTTCAATGAAATCTCCAATAAGTATTCCGAAAAACTCACGGTAGGTACCGGATGATATTCCAAACTATGTGTTAAAGGAATGTTTATGCACCATTGTTCTGTACCTTCTGTTCAATAAAGTCTCTCGAATCTGCCACCTATCCTGACAGTTGAAAAATAAGTCAATATTCAAGAGCGGTAGGAAGGACAATGTGGAGAATTATCGTAGTATATGCATCCAATCAGCAATACCAAAAGTTTTTGATAATTTAGTTAGTGGGCAACTATATTGGCAGTGCAGGGGGCTTATTTCCCAAAATCAGCATGGCTTTTTTGAAGGCAGGTCAATTGCAAGCAATTTGTTAACATATCCAGGCCAGTATCATAGGGAACATGGAAGACAAAAAACAAACGGACTCAATTTATACAGACTTCAGCAAGGCCTTGGAACGGGTCGATCACCAAATTTTACTCAAAAAACTGCAGGAGTTTGGCTTTTATCGGAATTTAGTAGTTTGGCTATAGAGAGCTGTTTGACTGGTCGATTACAACAGGTTAAAATAGGATGTTTTTACTTAGAGGTAATATTTATCTCATCTGGAATTTCGCAGGGGGGACATTGTTCACCATTGCTGTTTAACATTTTTGTTAATGATATCGTTAAGTGCTTTCTCTATTTGTTTATGGTATTTGCTGACGATCTAAAATTTTGGAAGAAAATTGAGTGTATAAGTGATCAACAAATGTTCCAAGAAGATTTAAATCGTCTATCAGAATGGTGGGAAACTACAAGTTACATTTGAATGTGGAAAAATGCTGTTTTAGAAGTTTTACCACAAGACCGAACAAAATACAAATTTCCTACAGATTGAATGACCAGCAAATTGAATATGTACAGACAGTTAAAGATTAAGGTATTGTATTTGACGATTGACGAGAAACTATCCTTTTCTGAACGTATTGCTTCAATTGCTGTTAGAAGTTCTAAAATGTTAGGTTTTATAAATAGGAATTGCAATTTTTTTTCAGTTGCTTCATATAGACTCGTTTACTGCGCTCTAGTAAGAATAATCCTTGAATACTGTTCAGTTGCTGTGTGGTCACCCTTTTATCAGGTTTATTCGGAATTAATCTAAAAAGTGCAATACAGATTTGAGAGTATGTGCCTATAAGCTGGATATTAGAACTATATTTTATCATGAATATAACGAGATTGAACACCGGTTATCCTTGGATCCATTAAGTAAGCTTCGTGATATGTTTGGTGCAATATTTGTCTATAAGATTGTGAATAGGTTGATTGACAGCTCTAATCTCGTAAACCAGGTCAGTCTACATGTGCTAGATATATATCATGCATTACGTAGTCTTAGAACTTTCAATGTTCCTTTTCATAGACCGTTATATGGAGTCAATAGTCCCATGCATAGATAGATATACAGTGTGTCCCGCTTAAGGACTGACCACCCTTCTAAAATTTGTATTTTTTAAACGATTCAATTTTTTTTTCTTATATCTACTCGAATTTGGCTCTTATTAGGCTCATAATTTTATTTCTGCGGCTGTACTGTGTGTACAGGGTGTCCACATTTATAGGCTCAAATTTCAATAAGTACTATTAGGAATTTTTTTACAAAAAATTTGATAGCAGATTCTTGTTTAGAATGGTCTAAAACCCAAATGTACTAATTTTTGTTTCAATACGATACCGTTACCGGGTGATGACAACAAATGTTCACAATTTAATGAATCAAACCGCAACAATGTTATATTTTCAGACAAGCTTACTACAAGTTTTGGTTAAGGATGTTCTAAAACTATGTTGTATCAAGTTTTGTTGCTCTTAAGGTCTCAAAATATGACATTTTTCCTGTTTGGTTCATTAAATTTTGAAAATTTGTTGTGATCACCTTCTAACATATTGAAACAAAAATTAGTACCTACATTTGGGGTTTAGACCATTCTAAACAAGAATCTGCTATAAGATTTTTTCTAAAAAAAATACCCAATAGTACCTATTGAAATTTGAGCCTGTAAATGTGGACACCCTGTAGACCAATACAGCGGCAGAAATAAAATTATGAGCTTAATAAGTGCCAAATTCAAATAGATATAAGACAAAAAAAATATGGATTGAATCAGTTAAAGCGGTTAAGGGGGACACACTGTATGTATGTCATTACTAAATGATCTCAATGTAGATATTTTTTACAGGTGCTTTGAAGAAAATAGCTTTAGGTTGATAGTCAAATATGTTATTTTTATCTTATTATTATTGATTGTTGTTATTTAACAGTTAATGGGGCTATTCCATATAAATAAATAAATACTTTCAACAGCAAATTTTGAGTTATCCAGACTCTTACTCAGTTTAGATGCCAATCCCCTACACATTTTATCCGAGAGCAAAAGAACTTTATTTTTATTTCCATTCTGCATATTAATGTCTTCATTCCTGATTCCAGCCCTGCTACCATAAATTTTGTCAGTTTGATGTCTAAACAAATCACCTTGACCCTCTCTTTGATGGATCTTCATCGTAGCAAATTGTATATTAAAGTCAAGGGAGTGGCTGCCTTGCTTGTTGAAAACTCAGGAAAATCAAACCAGAGTATTTTGAGCAAATATATTTGATATTGTCTTATCCCGGCCATCCCCAGTGCTAACTGGAAAGAGGGATCAACAGGCCAGTTAGAAAGTTCTGACTACTCTGTTTGGATTTTCCTGAAATTGTATATTTGCACTTATTGAAACAGCATAATATGGACTTTTGCGTTTTATTAATTAACAAAATCACATATATGTATTATTTAAATCAAACTAAAAATAAATTAAATTCTATCCACACAATGATATTTAAAATAACAGTCTAGTTTCAGTTTTATCAGATTTTCATATCAAACGGAGCATTTACTCAAGCAGACTCTCATTAAATAAATCACTGATTACCATAACTGTACCAAAAAAAAAAAGAAAACATTTGCACATCACAAAATTAGAAGTAAGCGGTTATATCCCATCATAGTATGCATTAAAATATTGCCTGTAAGTTCATTTAAAAATTAGTCTACTTCAAATTCACAAATTTAAATAAAATCATGTGCAAGCCAAGGAAGGAGAACGCAGCACATGAATAGTCATTAATTTATTTATTCTGTAAAAAAGTTTTAAGAAAGATTTATTAATAAAAATCAAAATGTCCACAATTCCCAATAAAATAAATTATTTATTCGTCTCACACTTCACACTCAACCTTCAACTAACAAAAAATTAAAACACTAATTATTGGATTAAAATTCATCTGTTATCAACTAAGAATACAGATCAATAATTTCCACGCATACAAAGACCCAAAAGCATTTTATAAACATTTTCCAACTAAGTAACAAATCTGAGATCCAAAATAAGTTAATTTAAGCTACTAAAAGTTTATCTATCCTCGCCAAAATTTATAACTTTACGTATCCGATCGATCCTATTCTCAGAAGGTTTGGACATTTGTGCAGTTTTTCTCTTCTCCCAGCTTTCCATTGTGTTGCTTCTGTCTTGCAACGCGGTCTCTTTTCCACTTGACGGAGCCTGATCACAAAAAAAAAACAACCATGTTAGCCTCAAAAATACATTAAACCTTACATTGCTACTTACTGTTTTTGACTGATTAAACTCCTCAGGTGCGATATACCCCTGAGGTCTTTGCACTCTTGAAGCCCTGTTTTTAGTCACGTAATCGTTAAAAATCTCATCAGCCGTTTTGCCTTTGATCACAGAAATCACATGATGGCGTGCTATCCGATGCATCCGATCTGACGTAGAACATTCCAGTTTGCCAGTTTTCGTCTGGATTTGGTCGACATAAAATCGCCTCGTAACACGAGCCAGTACCGAGGCAAACAGTTTATATTGTGGATGGGTGCTTGTGACGTTTTGACTTTTGAGGGCACCGCTTACAGCCCAGATAAGTTTCTGGAAAGAAAAATATTTATATCGGAAGGTGCTTTACATTTCTGATTGTTGTGAGGAAATTCCCATTAAACCAATTAACGCTGGATTTGGTTAAACATTTTTAAAATAGGTCTATTAGTCTAGGGCCTGGTTTATTCAGGTAAACTTTCTGGTAACTATCTGCAAGATAAATTCACCATTCTATAATTATATTAGTCGGCGGATCAATGAGAGTACAGATTGCATACCTGTCGTTTGTCAATTTATCAGAAGGTGAATAAACTGGCCCCAAATCAAATCAAATCATTTGTACTATTGAACCCGAAGAAAATCGGTTGTATGTGTATTTTTTCATGAAGAATTTGTATCATCAAGCATTATGGATATCTCAATAAGTGTATTATTATGTGAACTACTATGATAAAATAATTAATTTATCATGACAAAACCTATATTATAGAAGTTGGGCCAATTTGAACCCCAATAGGAAACTGATACCTATAGAAAAAAATCCTCTCTGACGCTCCAATTTTATGAAAAAATTAATAGTTTTTTGATATCCTTGAAGGAGCAGCGCTAGAGGGCGTTTCTAGTTTTCAGTAAGTTTGTTTCTAAATATAAGTAATTGAGTTTTGCAATAACTATTTGAAGGCACTTATCCAAGTAGAATTCAGTGGCGTACTAAGTTTCTTTACAGTTTGTCACAATTTGGAGACGTTTACCAATGTCCGCTTCATTCTCAGTTACAGCAATCTGTGCTTAAAACCTTTTATTATATATTTTTTAAAAATTGACTGATGTAATGATTTACCTTTATTAACTCTAGAAGCTACTATTTTGTTTAAACAGGCCGTATAAAACCTAATATTTACCCTTTTATGTATCTCAGTCAATTCTAAGTGAGACTGGCTCCTATTCAAAGAAACATTCCAATCACTTTGTGTTCTAGAAAGAGATTCATTCAAATCAGAAGTACTCGTGCTTGGTCTGCGATCCATAGACATGCTTCTGTTGACTTTAGCTCCAGGCAAATCATCTGATTCGCTTCTTTTACGTTTTCTTTCCATGCCGAATTGTTTGAATGGTGACTTTTTCACTTTTATAGGCGAATTTTTTTTGGGAGACGCAAATAAATTTCTGCGAAACTGCCTTTTTTCTTGGGAACCACATAAATCTAGGGATTTATCTGAAAAAAACATACAACTTAAAAACAAGAAAAATATTACCGATTACACTTACTTGAAAATATACTACTAGAATTAGAGTTACTTCCAGGACTCTGAAACAGTGCCCGTTTAGTGCTCCTATTTACACTTTGACTAGCGCCCCTAACCGGGCTGTTGAATAGAGCTCTTTGTGAAGATGACATTTCCGAGGAATCTGGTACCGCTTTTTGAAACTCTCCAGTCAATTTTCTAAATCTCATAGCGAGTTTCTTTTTAGCCGAGCTAGATGGTGTTTTGGTTTTGACTCTAGGGCTCTTACTTGGAGTCTTCTTTGGTGTTTTTCTAGGACTTCTTCGGCGACTTAGCAAATCGAGTTTCCTTGAAGAAAAATTATTTAATCAATTCGCAGCACGCTGTAGAGTCTAACAATACAATAAAGTCTGAGCCTAACAATACAATAAAGTCTTTAATCTGAATTTAGAAAAAGACAGGATATAAATGAATATATCAAATTTGAAATCCGACGTTTCGTCTTTAGGCCAGCTTTTTTTTAACTTTGTCAAAAGAAAAATGAGATTTTATCTTTGAATTTTTATCAAAAGATACGGGTGTAAACCCGGTCATTTCGATTGAGCTGATACAGAGCGTCTTTCATGATCAATTAAGTCAATGGGCTCTTTCACTAATTTTTGAAATTGGCATATTTGGATAAAGCAACTAAAAACAGAATTTTCTGTATTTTTACTTTTGAAAAATTCATAGTCTTTCTTGAGAAAACAGAAAAATAATAAATACCTCCAAATAAAAACCCAGAATTTATTTCTATGACGTCGCAGCTCGCAATTTGACCGTGTTGCCACTAATTGTCAACATTGAAAATTTGTAATAGATTTAATTCTGAAATGTTGGAAAAATATCATAAAAAGTAGTTCAATTAATTAATTATGGATTCAAGATTTTATAACATTTTTTTTGAAATTATGCTTAAATACAATTTAATACAATTTTTTATGTTTCGTTTTATTTTATTTTTTTACGCTGCACTACATTCAGTCACAACCGACAACAGCGCATTCGAACCTTTACGTATCCTTGCTGTACTTTTACAGATAGTCCATTATCATAGGGTCCGCTCGCTTCGATCTCGTGCTAAGTTTAAAAATGCATTATTTTATGAAAATATGGAACTACTTGATTACCAAATGGTATGTTGGCATTTCTGTAAATTATTTTTTTTCCGAAAAACAGCCACTTCAAGATCGCGGATGGAGCAATTTTTGAAAAATTCGTATCTTCATTATTATTTGATCAATTTTCTATTTCAAAAAAAGAAATTACTTGGAAAAGTCTATAATTTATTAAAAAAATTGTTTCAACCACACATATTCAATAATAAAAGAAAGTTTCCCCAAAAATTGAAAAAAAAAAAGATTTTTTTTTTAATTATTTTTTTTTTAACCATTTTTCTTTCTATAATTATAAATTATAAAGAAAAAAGTTTCAGATAAAAAATGCTCAGAATTTTCTGCTGAATCGAATGATATATAATTTATTAGAGGTTGTTCAGTAGATACTACTGAAAAGTGAGTTACCAAGTAAGAAATCGAGGGTTGGTTTTGAAAAAATTACTTTTTCTACAAACGTATTAAAAATGAAATTTTTAACACCCCCCCGAAGCATTAAAAATGTTACTTTATCGCACTAGTGCCATAAAGTCTTTATAGCATTAGTGTTAAAAATGAAACATCAAAATTTGAGAGCGAACGTCAAAAAAAGTTTGTATTTTTAGTTATTTACATTGATATTAATGGTGAAATTTGAACAACTGAGGTAGCCCGATTGGCCGCCTCATCTATATTTTTCAAGGGATCGATGCAACCCCCTTTTTCTTCTGTATTTTGTTCCATTTTAAGCAAAAAGCATTACTGACCACGACAGACTTTCAAGAAACTGACAAGACATTTCATCATCCTGTAAAACAAGGTGCTGGTTGTTTGGACTTGACAAATGTCAAATTCAATAATTTTATGTAGGAAAGGTGCTTCCAATTTATTATTCATTTCAAAATCCAATTTGTTACTGGTTATTGCTTTTTATTTCCGTTTGTAGAAAAAATATTGTATGATATTTGTGTTAAAAGTATTTTTAAGGCACTTATGTGAATTGCAGAATTCGCTTCGCTCATTCTGTAAACTTTCACATGCGTGCCTTAAAAATGTACTTTTAACACTTATATCATAAATAACTATTATTAACAATCCGAAAATTTATACTAGCGAAAGCACGTTACAATAAATGTTACAATTATAATTAATTTCAACTGACTGACTATCCTAGGAAAAAACATACATTTATAATAAACTGAAAAGAGAAATAAGCCTTTGGCATTTTTGTAAATAATTTTTTTCCGAAAAACAGCTACTTCAAAATCACGGATGGAACAATTTTTCAAAAAATTCGTATCTCCGTTATTAATTGTTCAATTTCTTATTTCAAAAGATGGATTACTTGGAAAAGTCTATATTTTAATAGAAAAAATGTTTTTACTACAAATATTTAATATTAAAAGAAAATTTCGACAAAAATTTAAAAAAAAACATATACTTTTTTTTTAAATTATTATTTTTTAACCATCTTTCTTTCTATAATTAAAGATATATGCTGTGCCAACAGTGTATAATAACAAGTGTTCCAAAATGACATTTGGCAATTGATTCCTAATAACATATTTGCAATCAATACATGAAAAAATCAATAACCTATACCCTGATACATTATTAGAACCCAATAACGGGAAATAAATAAACTTCACATAAAATCTAATAATATCACAAACATTCTCATATTTCTTTTAAAAGAAGACAGAATAAAATTGATACAAAAATGAAAATATTCCTCAGCCACAGAGAAACAAAAGGAATAAATTAATGACTTGGCTCAATATTCGAATCTCTAACTGGAAACCTGGACGCATCTGACGGAGAACGTCACAAGCACATCATTAGGGAATTACAAAACAATAAAAATAGTTTACAAGAAAATATTCTGAAACAATACTCGCTTTCTTTAAAAGTAATAGAAAAATTTAACTAAATTATTAAACAAATAAATATCAACGAACAACTTCTAGAATAAAAAATTAACCAAATTGCACATATTATGGCACAGAAGGCAGACATAATAAATCAAATAGGTACCTAGTCAATATCTATGAGATAATCGACTCTATTTTACAAGATATAGAAAATTCCTTAACTTTTTCAAAATTGAAAGTCATGCATCCAGGTATAATAAAAACTGAGTGCCATGATTATCCTAAAATTACTCTACATACTTTACTTAATTTCAGAAAAATACAAACTCAATTTTATCTTTGTAAACTTTTTTGACAGAGGGCTGTAAACTTCATTACTTCAGTATTTTTCCCCTAGCTCAAAAACTAGAATAGGAACATATCACTTTCATAACAATACTAAATGCAGTATTTTGAAGCGAATCCAACGATGTAATACATGATGGCGCCTCCAGGATCAAAATATTCCGGAGGTAAAATACCCGACCACTCGGATCTCCGGGCGTCGGGTGATCCTGGGGGTCCTTCATGCAAAGATATAAAGAGAAGATCAAAAACTCAACTCAGAATTGATTTTAGCAATATAAGAGGAATAAGTACAAATATGAATTCAGTTCACCAACATCTTGAAGAACAAAGACCTGACATCCTTGTTCTCAGTGAAACTAAAATCAGTTCTGCAACACCTATTGTGAACTATCTTTATCCCGGCTATGACCTACACCACCGATTTCGACATAATTTTGGGATCTGTGTGTACATTAAAAATGACCTTTCATGTCATCGAGAGGAGAAGCTAGAACCAGCGAACCTTGATATCATATGGCTAAAATTCACCTCAAAGTCATCGACCAAGTTTATCTGCTGCCTCTACCGACCGCCAAGTAACACCGATTACCAAAACTTTTTCACGACATTATCCGAAAGCTGTGATAGTATACAGTCAAACTATCCACAGGCGGAAATTGTCTTTTTAGGCGATTTCAACGTCCACAATATACCCTTGCTGAAACACCACAACAAAACAGATAACGAAGGCAGAGAAGCAGAAGCTTTTGCCATAAGTTGTGGTCTAACGCAGCTTGTCGATGAACCTACCCGTATCTCAGAAAGGGGCGAATTTGCAGCGCTTTTAGACTTGTTCCTAACCACCAATCCTGACTCGTACACAATTCAAGTAGATGCTCCACTTGGTTCGTCCGATCATAAACTTATAATAACAAAGTGCGAAATGCTCATCCCACCAAGCCTACAACCACTTCCTCGTAAAATGTGGCACTATAAATCGGCAAAATGGAATGACCTAAAACAGTATTACCTGGATTTTCCATGGCAAGAGGTTTGCTTTAAAACAGCTGATCCCACTATTTGCTGTAATGAAATAACACAAGTAATCTTATCTGGAATGGACGCATATATCCCACATACAACTAAACGTAGAGCTAATGCAAAACCTTGGTTCAACAGCCAGTGTCAAACGGCTGTACAGAAAAAACACAGAGCATATAACCTTTGGAAACGACAACAAACCGCTCAAAACCACACAGAATTTATAGAAGCCAGAAATAGTTGCAAAATTACTATCGACTCCGCTAAAGAAACATACAATCAAAGAATAAAAAACAGGTTGCTGAATTGTCCAAGTAGTTCTAGGTCTTTTTGGTCTCTTGCAAAAGCTGTTGGATCTAACTTCACCAAGTCATCCATACCACCACTTACAGATAAAAATAATCACTTAGCCACAACATCAGAGGAAAAAGCCAATATGCTTGCCCAAATGTTTTCCTCCAACTCCAACCTAACAGTGCCAAACGGAAAAACTCCACCGTTCATTGAAAGGGTTTCCCATAGTATGCCAGAGGTACCCTTTTGTCACAGAGAAATACGAAAATCCCTAAAAAAGCTGGATACAAACAAAGCAATGGGTCCGGATGGCATTCCCGCAATAGTACTTAAAAATTGCGCCAACGAACTCACCCCAACTTTCGCAAAATTATTCAATTTGTCTTACAGGCAAGGAGTATATCCATCATCATGGAAGTCTGCCGCAGTACAACCCATTCCAAAGAAAGGAAAAAAGACAGATCCATTAACTATAGACCAATTGCTCTACTTCCGGTGATATCAAAAGTAATGGAAAGAGTTGTGAACAATCACCTAACCAAGTACTTGGAAAAGTACAAAATTATCAACGATAAGCAATACGGATTTCGAAAATATAGGTCAACTGGCGATTTACTTACATACGTCACTCACTTATGGCAAAAAGCGATTGAGTTGCGGGGTGAAACAAGAACAATTGCCT